CTCACTCTCTCACTCTCTCACTCTCTCTCAGTCACTCTCTCACTCTCTCTCAGTCACTCTCTTACTCTCTTCACCCACTCATATAAACCTCACAGATAAATACTGGCAAGCATACAATTGAATAAGTCTTTTTTGTTAAAGTTAGTTATGTAAGTACCAAATTACAAACCAAGGCATTCACTGCTTTTACAATCCATGTCACTGTTCCTTAAAACATAAGACAGGTAGGTAGATCAGTGCTTTGTGTTAATGCAATAACTGCATAATTAAACTTTCTGGCTTAAACTCTCAAGCTAAATTCAGGCTAAAAAAAATCAATCAATCAATCAATCAATCAATCTAAGTATACATATGAAATATCAAAATACAAACAGGAAAATTATTAATGCATCTGAGAAAGAAGGAAAAATTGATTTCACAAAATATAATTAACGTCTCAGATCTCTGTCACAAGTTGCAGTTATTGGATTAAGGTATAATCCCCTTCAGGATTATATGCACTTTGCCTTCTTTATCATGACACTGATTTGCCTTGAATTTCTAACACGAAACTGATTTAATATGGAATCTTACTGTGATACTGATTTGCTTATGATGCAACACACAAGCACACACATACATAACCCTCAGCCTCACCAATCTACAAATTAAATCTCTTTGTCTTTCAGAGTAGATACACACCAAGTTTCTTTATCCTTCAGAGTAAAATGTGTAAATATATACCTTTTTCTTTTAGGAAGAAATTCAGGGTTAAAAATATTTAAATATAATAAGTAAGCTATGCAACTTCAATTAAAAAGTACATAATCTCATGACACTGTATGCCAATTGACAATATCCATTCTCCAACTGTAAACGGTTACCTTTGTCATTTTACCAGGGTGTTTACCTCCGTACCTAATTTAATAGTGTCTATATATCTTACTATATTTATCTACCTACCTATCTGTTCCCTCCATTTCATAAAGTTTAATTCTATATCTCCCTCTTGCCAACTCTGTAGCATTATCTACTTTCACATATCCATTTTTCTCTAATAAAGTCATATGTATTTATTCACAAAAACCATAAAATCAACTGTCACTTACGGACTATCGTTATATTCTACGGAGAAAAAAAAACAAAAGCAACAACTTTGTAACAAGAACTGCACTGCTGATTTTACCAAATATTTCTTGTAGCCGACATAACCAACTGCTAAACAAATGGCATCTCTAGTGAAAATCATCGTCTCCCATTGCAAGGAAAGCTCGGAGACACATGCTTCCATTTTGGACGTACAACCTATTGTTTCTTTTTTCTAAAGTTGTTTGCAGGCATTTTTTTTTTTTTTTTTGACGGATGAGTGTCTTCACAGTCATTCGATGTGCCTCTACCATACAACATTCAGGCATGAGTGGATGAAATCACAGCATGTTTTGTTTAAAATTGAGAAACCTCTTTTTTTTTTTTAATGACAAAAAAAAAAGGGAGAATAAAGGCGAAGGAACAACTTACAATAAGAAATCTAAAATAATCACTCACAGTCACGAGGGTCTGAATTAAGGCTTTTCTGTTCCAGGACCTGAAACACATGTAACAGGCCAAGATACTTGCTTCAAGTTGCAGCCGAATTTTAAAATTAAGCTTATGCTTTTTATAAATTTTGAGTTTTTTTTTGTTTTTTTGTTTTTGTCTTAATTTTTTTTACTAATTCAAGTTACAAAGCTGGCCTAACTTGAAAAGATGGTTGCTAGTTCCACTTCCAGTCCTGGGAAAGACATTGAGCTACCATAAAAATTATAAATCATTATTCTCAACTTCAAGGTTCTCAGGTTAACACTGGACCCACTTTATGAAAAAAAAAAAAAAAAAATATTCATAAATAAAAAAGACGAAGAAGAATTTCAAAGCTTGCCTTAACTCACTGTAGGTTAACACGTCCCAACACAACTAGCTCATGGCAATGTCTCCATCTCCGTCTAGGTGGGAGTTAGGGGCGGGGACCCGACAGGTTGCAAGGTCATTGGTTAACAACTGGCTTCGATTAGGAAAATTTCCATTTAATTGCTGCTGCTGCTGCTGCTGCTGCTGCTGCTGCTGCTGCTGCTGCTGTTGCTGCTGCTGTTCCTGCTGTTGCTGCTCCTGCTGTTGCTGTAGATGCTGTTGTTGTTGTACATGTTGCTGATGTAAATCCTGCTGCTGCTGCTGTTCTTGGTGCTGTTGCTGTTGTAAATCCTGTTCAGACTGTGGCTTGTCTGGCTGCTGGCCGAGGTGGAGCGGGGCGAAGGGGTTGGACATCGTGTTTGCAGGGACCATGTGAGTGCCAGAGGGGGGGGAACCCAGGGCCTTGAAGTTGACCATTTGCTGCATAAGGGCTAGAGTGCCACCTGAGTCAACTGGCACTATGACCCATATCGTATCTGTTGAACATTAACGTCATTATAACAAGGAAAGCATAAAAGATGAGAATAATATTGAAGATGAAATAAGTAATGATGCAAAAAATAATAATAATAAA